GATTTGTATACCTTCGACGCGTATGTAGAGAATCGCGTGCAATGATCTTATAAGATGCATGACAAATTTAATAGAAAGGCCAAGGTCACTCGCGACTCATATTCAGCATTCATTGTATGTACGTCGAAGATGGTCTCGTCCGGTGTATAGTGTGATCATACAATATTACTATGCTCGTAGATGACTCCAGTCAAAAGAAAACACCTATCACTATGATGGACTGAATTTTTGATTTAACAATTTTTTAATAATCTACATTTAAGTATTTCATAACGGGGTCATTGTATAACTAGAGACTCTAATTCGATAAAGTCGGTCCAATAATTACGAACACAATTTCTAAAGAGTTCTTTTTAAAAAAATTCAATATTATAAACATAGAGGATGTTTTCATGTGATAAAAAATATGAGAAACCATTTTTATACATTCTGTTTTTGATATCGAAATCGATTGAAGTTAAACAAGGAATATCGAAATCCACTAATTCTCACCGGATGTTCCGTTTTACTTTTCCGTTGTGATTTCACCTCGACCTAATTCCTCGTCGTAAAATGCGGTCACGAATCGATGTTCTCTGCCCCAGCTTTTAGCCTGTATTTACCGTTATCTAGAGATTTCTACGCTAGTCTGTAGACAATGACTTGCTATGGAAATACTTAACGATAAAATAGTATAAAAGATTTAATAATTTAAAAATACGTATAAGAAACAGAGAGACGAATCGTATGATATAATCATCAACGTAACCGACTTACGCGTGTTTCAGAAATAACTTTCTACCTAACAGTTATGTCGGAACGCGAATAGTTCATTTCAGTTTTATTATCGCATAGGAGGTACTTATTATAATAGTATTAACTGTATTACTGGAAAGAGAAATGTTTATAAAAAATAATTCTACCTAAGATTATAAAACCTGATATGCAATTATGCTACGCAATGTCAACTGTAATAATTCTTTTAACTTAACGTCTCCCAGTACTTTTTTTCAAGGTCTATGCATTGATAATGAACTCTAACATGGAGCCCCATGACCTCGAGCGAGGCTTGAACGATATATTGAAATTCTCATGAATGATACTGAATTTATATTTCACACAAAATTGTCTTTATCAATAGCAGACGTTAGCTTTAATATTTTATTACTTTTTTATTATTATAGACGTCAATTTAAAATGATCACGATATTCGCGCAGGAATTAGCTCTTCACGTGTATTCTTGATCGAGCAAATATATCATTACACGCAATTCGTTCTTTTTACGTAATCCGGCAATTGTCGCCGATTATTCGTTACAACTGGTAGCGCCGATACATAACATTCTGTCCATAACGAAAATTTAATTACATCCATCAGGTTGAACGAGGAAAATTGTTTTACGATGCCAATAAAATATTTACCTGTCTTCGGACTGTTATCACCACAAAGGCAGAGAATATCGTAATAATTTAATTTTCACGTGTCCTAGTTTCTGTTCTTATTATGTAACAATTAATATTTATGCGAATTAAAGATAATAAGAATTAAAACGAGATAAAAAAAAAATTCAGAATATAATCCAGAATTAATTTCTTCTTTTCCTTTTTACAGAAGATAACTTCGACCATATTCTTAAGATCATTGAGCGATGCCTCCACCGATCTGAAAAAGGTTCTGGCTGATAAAATTCCGAAGGAGCAGGAACGTGTCAAGGCTTTTCGTAAACAGCATGGATCCACCAAAGTTGGAGAGGTCACCGTAGACATGGTATGCGTCTGTTCGCGCAATTTCCAGTTATCATGCGTTTTATATACGTTTTACGTACTAAATATCTGACGATGAATAAATTATCATGCATCGCAGCAATATTATTGCAAGAGCGGAACGTCACGCGATGAACGTTACGTATTAACATATTAAGCCACGTGGATGATAAGGCATCTCACTATGAAAGACACACTACGAGTTATTTTTTGTGGCATTGATAAATGTCTCGCGAGTGGGTGATAAAGACCATGAAATCAGCGCGTATGCCGCGTGCTTATCATGTGATCGCAATATACATATATAGGCAGGCTTTTAGGTTGCGGGTAAAATTCTGGCTGCCTAATAATCGGAGAACAAAATCTCGCAATTTCTATATCAATACTCGATGAACTTTATTCCTTGTACATCACATTCTTAGAGGTTTTTTAGTAACGATCGAATTCTTTGCGTTTAATGAGATCCAACCAAGCAAGAAATTATGCTATAATATGAGACATCTTTCCTTTTTGCCTCTTTTGCCTTTATTTTCTATGATACTTTATACGTTTCTCTCTCTATTCTTATTTATAAAATCAAATCATGATAGATGTGAAGGTAACATTTAGGCCAGTCCAAAGTGCGGCTCCTGTGATCGTTACATCAGACATCAATGTCAATGAACACATCTTCTCTTTTTTCTCCTATCTTTTTTCGCCTGATGTTGATATCGCGTGATAACTTTTCGTTACTTTTTAGATGTATGGTGGTATGCGTGGAATTAAAGGACTTGTATGGGAACCGTCGGTCCTGGATCCTGAAGAAGGTATTAGATTCCGGGGAAAGTCGATTCCAGAATGTCAGAAGCTTCTACCAAAAGCTAAGGGTGGTGAGGAACCGCTTCCAGAAGGTTTGTTCTGGCTTCTGATTACTGGCGACGTTCCCACGGATGCCCAAGTGAAAGCAGTCTCTCAAGAATGGGCCTCCCGAAGCGCATTACCTGATCACGTAGTCAAAGCTCTGAACAACTTCCCCAAATCGCTTCACCCCATGACTCAATTCTCCGCCGCTATTACTCTTCTAAATAGCGAGAGTGAATACGTGAAAGCGTATACGGGAGGTGTACACAAGAGCAAATATTGGGAAACCGTTTACGAAGATTCGATGAATTTGATCGCTAAATTACCCGTAGTCGCTGCCACAATCTACAGAAATATTTACAAGGGTGGTAAAGGCTTGGGATCCGTCGATGCGGGAAAAGATTGGTCTTGGAATTTCGCGAACATGCTCGGTTACGACAATCCACAATTCATCGAACTTATGCGCTTATACCTAACGATCCACTCTGATCACGAAGGTGGAAATGTATCTGCACACACAACTCACTTGGTAGGTTCGGCATTGTCTGATCCATATTTGTCATTTGCCGCTGGAATGAACGGCTTGGCTGGTCCTCTCCATGGTCTTGCGAATCAAGAAGTGTTGGTATGGCTAGAAAAGTTGCGCGCTCAAGTTGGAGACAGCCCCAGTGACGATAAGCTGAAGGAATTTATTTGGAACACGTTGAAGAGCGGTCAAGTCGTTCCTGGATACGGTCATGCCGTACTGAGAAAGACTGATCCTAGATATACATGCCAGAGAGAATTTGCATTGAAACACTTGCCGGATGACAAACTATTCAAGGTAAAATTTCAGAATGAATAATTTCTTTAGGATTTGTATTAAGCTTTTAGCTTGTTGTCTATTAATGATCATATTTTTATATTTTCAGCTTGTTTCCCAAGTATACAAAGTAGTTCCACCCATTCTTTTGGAAACTGGCAAGGTAAAGAACCCATGGCCAAATGTAGATGCTCATTCGGGAGTTCTACTGCAATACTATGGAATGAAAGAGATGAATTATTACACCGTCCTGTTCGGAGTATCGCGTGCTCTTGGTGTTCTGGCGTCCCTTGTTTGGGATCGAGCTCTCGGTCTTCCCATAGAAAGGCCCAAATCTCTAAGCACTGATCTTCTCATGAAATCTGTCAAAGCCTAAACAACTTTATTTATGAAAAATCGGTGTCACCTTTTAAGTTTGTGACACACCATCATCATGATTTCAAAAGTAAAGAACTGACTGCTTTCTATCATAGTGAAAATGTTATTAATACACAGATAGATGTAATCTTCTTGAGATCATTACGAATTCATATTAAATGACTTCAAGGAAGTCGTTTTAATTGTTGAATCTTATCAAAAAGATGTAAAATTAGGTATCGTCTCACGTAACAATATGTGCTTCGAATGTAAACACATTAAAAATAGGTTTCGCAATTTACTGTATCGCAAAAACTTTTGCCTACATCTTTTAATAACGTGTTCATTCACCTTTTTCTGTTGACAATGCAGATTTCGTGTAAAGGAGGTAGAGTTTTTGCGATATACTATAAGCTACGAAAAAGATTCATCCGTTAAATATAGTTTAACTGCCAAACCCTTTAAAAAGATGTAATATGCCCATTAGCGATAAACACAATTCATTGTAAATATATTTGCCACTTTGTTTAATTTATAGAGCGGCGATTTTAGAAATAAAAGTGACGTAATTCATTATACAGTTAGTAAATCATTAAAACGTTCACTACAAAGCTAAATATGCGTAGTGAAGGTTTTCCAAATATTGTAAATTGAACAGACACTGCCAAAAAAATATCAGAAATTTTAGAATATACATTGAATCACAATAATTATCTTTACGGCTATTATTACGTGATTACTAAATACCGTTTTACCAGCAGAAGTCTGCAAAATATAATGGCTCTTAGTAAACTATGTAAAATACAAAATAAATAGAGCTAATAAAATATGTAAAAAATGTTGCAGTGTTTGCGCACCAGTTGTTGATTTTAGATTCTTTAACAACATTATAAACTCGGCTCAATCACATCGATCTACTTCGGTGAACTTAAATTTTAAAAAATGATGATTAGTGGTAAAACCACTGTTACAAGAATGAGTGAGTGTGTGCGATACTTTATTTATAAAGAACGTGAAAATAAACAAATCTTTCAAAAGTACATCTGGCTTTTTTTGGCACTTTAGGATAAACAATTGAAATATAAAAATATAAGATAAGTAAATATTTTCAATTTATTTTTTGTGACTTGTATTTTTATTTCATTTTGAATTATTTATTTTTAATTGTTATTCGTATATCAAAAGAACAAATAGAATATAGTAGATTATATAGTTTAAGATTATACAATACATAGTATAAGAATTTTAAAACAAAAATATAAAAAGCTTACTGTTCTTACTCTTATTACAATAATTCTATTATTCGTTATTGTGAACCACGTAAAGAAATATTTCAAAACCAATACTCAATGAGTACCAAATCACCGTACATTCCACCGAATTGTGGTAGCAAAATCGTCGGCATTTTTGTAAAATTATCGCACATGATTTAGTACAATTAGATGATAACAGCGTGCGGTGTTACCGTGGGTTGTTTGCAAGCAGCCTAACGATGTAATATGATTTTCGACACTGTTAATGTATCGAATGAGAGTTATCCTTCAAATTCATCGTACTCGCCAAAATAAGATGCTTCAAGGTCCGCGCCTTAATCTGTTACGAGCTTTTCTATTTGCGCTTGAACTCTATCAAATTAAAGTTTTAAAGCATATATATATACATGTATTTCGCTACATGAAGTTTCTATCAAATGTTTAAAGCGAATTAATATTGACCAACTCAGAGGAATTTATCTAAGCAAATTGGACCACTTAACGAATATTAATGTACTTGACGTACATAGATGACTATGAAAAATTATTGCAACGAATGAACTGTATATTATGTAAAAAAATTCAATATCGTATACACAGAGAAGGTTTGCTCAAGAAACAGTCGAGAAACGATTTTATTCATTCTGCTTTTGGAATCAAACGGTCCAAGTTATGCAACGATTGTCAAAATCTACAGATTGTTACCAGCTTTATCTTCCCATCGTGGTTTCATCTTGACCAATTTTTTGACCTGCAGACAATTCTCCGTGCTCGATAGGAATGCTCAACTATAGTAAAGTATGAAAAACCTAATAGTTTAAAAACATCTGTAAAAAGAAATGTCCAATAATATAATCATTGACATAACCGCCGCATGCAATTCCGAAATAATTTCTTTTTTTCTCGCGCTAAAATCTAGATGATTAATTTTATAACGTAAAAGGTTTATCAATATCAACTGTATTACTGAAAATAAAAATGTGTTGATAAGAACTCAAAAAGGGGGAACAATAATATGCATTAAACAGGCAGAAAAGATATTACCGTCTATCTTCGTGGATTATGAGATCTAATATGTATAATTATGTTGTTTGATATCAACCGTCATAATTCTTCTAATTTTTGAGTTTCCGGCACGTTTTCGCAAGATCGACGCATTGATAATAAACTATAACGCGAGACCCTATGACCTCGAGCGAGTCTTGGATGATATATTGAAATTCTCATGAACGTTGACTCTTTCTAAGCACGAAGCAATGTTCACATTTTGTGTTTTGAGATTATACATTATTCGTAATGGTTAAGAATTTATATTATTTTAATTGAAGAGTTGTATAATATCGGGTCGATATAAAAGAAAATGTATACAGAAAAGTATTTTAATATTTTTCTAACATCACAAAAAATTATACTGTTTTAAACTATTCTATTTTATAAACTTATAGATTTAGGAAGGAAATATAAAAATGGTATTGAATGCGTGTTCTGAAAAAAATTTTTTTATTAATAGCAAACATCAGTGTTCGTGATCGCGACACCCACGCGACAATTAGTACATCGCGTCTATTCTCTAATTCTTCAATCGTACAGAATTGTTCAATAAAATTGGTAAAATCGATTTTTAAAGTTCTGTACATAACGAGGATTTGACTACATCCATCGAGTCAAGCGAAGAAAATCCAATAAAACCAATAAATATTTACGTCTTCAGATCGTGTGTCCTCGTCACAAAGGCAGAAAATATCTTAATGATTCGACTCGCACGTGTTCTAGTTTCTTCCCTTATTACGTAATAATTAGTTTCTGTAATAAATTGAAAATAATGCTAAACGTTTGATTTCCTCGCAATGTATGTATCCGAAATTAATAAATTTAAAAAATTTCAGAATACAGCGATGAATTAATTCCTTTTTCTCGTTTTTACAGAACATAGTCTTGTCCTTATTCATAAGATCAATGAGCAATGCCTTCACCGATCTTAAAAAGATTTTGGCTGAGAAAATTCCTAAAGAACAGGAGCGTGTCGCGGCTTTCCGTAAAAAGTACGGAACCACCAAAGTTGGAGACGTTACCGTGAACATGGTAATTCTTGTCTGTTGTGCAATTCCGACTATATCATTCGTTTTTCTTGTTAAACATCCGATGATGAATAGATTATCGAACGTAACAGCAATGTTATTGCCAGAACGGAACGTTACGTGACAAAAATGATATATTAATAGATTAAGGCACGTAGAAAACACAATACGTATTAACTTTTGTAATGTTCATAGGTGGACGATAAGGACTGTACATATAAACAAATTTGTAGGTTCTCGGAATAATTCTACCCGCCTAACAATCGTAATCTTTGTATCACTTTCTCAATGATTTTCTGGAGGCAATAGAATTCTTTGTGTTTAATTTAACGAGATCTGACTAAGGAAAAAACTTATGCGATAATATGTAAATAAAATATTTTCTCCTTCTTTTCTTTCTTTTTTTCGTATGTTACGTTCTATGCTTATGTTCCTATTCTTATATGCAAAATTAGACTACGAACGATATGAAAGTAGCATTCAAATCAGTTTAAAGTGCGGCTCCTGTAGTCAATAGTCAGAGGTCAATGTCACTGAACATATCTCCCCTTTTTTCTTCTATCTTTTTGCGCCTAATGTTGATATCGCGTGATAACTTTTCGTTACTTTTTAGATTTATGGTGGTATGCGCGGGATGTTAGGACTTGTATGGGAACCATCGGTTCTAGATCCTGAAGAAGGTATTAAATTTCGAGGAAAATCGATTCTGGAATGCCGGAAGATTCTACCGAAAATCAAACACGAACCACTTCCGGAAGGTTTGTTCTGGCTGCTGATTACCGGTGATGTTCCTACGGAAGCCCAAGTGAAAGAAATCTCTAAAGAATGGGCCTCCAGATGCGCATTACCTGATTACATAGTCAAAACTCTGAACAACTTCCCCAAGTCGGTTCATCCCATGCATCAATTCTCCGCGGCGCTCACTATTCTAAGTACAGACAGTATATTCAAAAAAGAATACGAAGCAGGTATACACAAATCCAAATATTGGGACGCCGCTTACGAAGATATAATGAACCTGATTGCCAGATTACCCGTACTCTGTGCCATGATATACAGAAACCTTTACAAGGATGGCAAACTCGGGGCATCTGTGGACCCAGGCGGAGACTGGTCTGGCAATTTCGCAAAAATGCTCGGTTACGACGACCCACAATTTGCTGAACTTTTACGATTATACCTAACGATTCACGCTGATCATGAAGGTGGAAATGTATGTGCGCACACGACCCATTTGGTGGCTTCGACATTGTCCGATCCCTATTCGGCATTCGGCTGTGGAATGAGCGGTTTGGCAGGTCCTCTTCATGGCCTTGCAAGTCAAGAAGTATTGCTATGGCTAAAGAAGGCGTGCGCTGAAATCGGAGATAGTCCCACTGATGACGAGCTGAAAGACTTTATTTGGAAGACGCTGAAGAACGGTCAGGTCATTCCTGGATACGGTCATGCCATACTCAGAAAGACTGATCCTAGGTATATATGCCAAAGAGAATATGCAATGAAACACATGCCGGATGACAAACTAATCAAGGTAAAATTCTCAAATAACTCATTTAATATTTGTATAAAGTTTCTATGTGGTTTATTCCTTGCTAATGACTATATTCGTATATATCTAGCTCGTTGCTCAAGTGTATAAAGTAGTTCCCCCCATTCTTATGGAACTTGGTAAAGTAGCAAACCCATGGCCAAATGTAGATGCTCATTCGGGAGTTCTCTTACAATACTATGGAATGACAGAGATGCAATATTACACTGTCCTGTTCGGAATATCACGTGCTCTTGGTGTTCTGGCATCTCTCGTTTGGTCTCGTGCTCTCGGCCTTCCAATAGAAAGACCCAAATCCATAAGCACCGACAAGCTTATGGAATTGGTTAAAGCTAAATAAAAGAAAACCATTCTTATTCGTGAAAAATTATGTTCACTAAAGCTTTCTAAATAGCGTTTTTGCAACATAGAACGAACTTATATACAATTTAATCGTCAAGCTCTTTAAGAAAATGCGTGCATTAACGGTAAACAAAATTCATTGTAAATATACGTGTTGCTTTTTATTAACTTATGCAATAACAATTTTAGAAATAAAAATGACATAATTCATTGTACAGTTAGTAAATCACTAAACATTTACTGCTGTCTGATCCTGTGGTGAAATTTACACGTGTGTACCGACTAACAAAAGCCACTCGAAGGATCAGTCTCGTGATGAGACGCAAGAAATAAATTGATCAGCCGAGAATTTAGAATCTTTTTGACTTCTGGTTTCTCCATTCGCGGCAAGTTCGTTTTCGGCTCGTCCATCGATTTATTAATTGTTAATATTACCAATATATATAATAATATTGTCAATCATTGTATTTTGTATCGATCACCTCCTTTCCGTGGATCTTTATCTATGGGAGGGGAAAGTTTTCCGTGAGTGTGAGAGTGTGGAAAGCGATAAGTAATTTTTTCGCAATGGTGAAGAAATTTTCAAAGCTTTTACCATTCGATTACTAGACCATTAGAAATTGTTTCTTCGGAATTTCGTAATTTCTATCACCTGTAGATACTTTCTAAACAATTCACACTGTTTATTTATTATACATTTTAATTATTATTCATATATGAAAGGAAGGAATAAAATATAGTAAAATATATAATTTAAAAGAATTCTAAAACAGAAATGTAAAAAAGTTACTGCTCATTTATTCGAATTAATAGCATGTACATAATTTGTTTTATAATCTCATTGTATTATACCGTAATTTTAATTAATAAAATCGGATAAACAGGATAGGAAATTGTATATTACAGTACGTAGTTCTTTTTTGACATCTCATAAAAGAAAGTTTGATAAATTTATTTTACATTAATCTCAGTCCTTATGTTAATTAACAATCTTATACGTAAACATTTCATGCTTGGTATGTTAATCAATTAAAAATAATCAATTTAAAACAAACATTTTTAAACTTGTTAATTTTTGAAATTTTGTTTGATTAATATCTAATCATATAAGAAGCTTAAATGCAGACACATATATCTGATTCACATGACTTATATAATGAAAGTTATATAGTAATGAAATTAAACAACCTATATGTTGTACTGTATTTCAAAATTTCTATATAATGAAAGCTTTGTTAACGACATTATATATATATTATAATATTGTGTATTTGTAATAATATGTCATAGTTAAGACAATTAATTGCTTCTTTTCTCAATATGAGAAAACTGCTATTTATTCTTATGAAATGTTAAATGTATGATCTCACTCTTGTTTTAGACGGCATTTGTCTTTCATACGATGATGTTAACAATTTCTACAATCGTCTTTCTCATATGTTACTAACGTGTGTGTTCTAAATTTTAGTAATTGTCAAATACTAGAGTATTTTTAGCTATACAAAAATTAATTACTATAATCATGAAGTAAATAAAATAAATGAGACAGCTGTTAATCGGATAGTTAGAGATTAGTAATACTTAAAATAATTCATAATACATATATTGAAGAATACAATAGATATATTTTAACAATCAAATGAATTTTGTATATAAAACACATCTTTGTAATATTTTGCATACAAATGGAATTAAATATTCCCAATAAACAACCATCTCACTGTTGAATACTCGTATCACAGAGCAGTTTTCTGCTTCTAAATGTTTGATTAGATTGGTTGAATAATTTGCCTTGAAATTCTTGAAGATGTTTGCAGTATCAAGTATTAAGAAATATTTAAATTCTTGTACAGAACGTTGAAAAATATGTGGTTTAATTGGTGCTAAATTGAAGTTGACTTTTTACAAGTGTTTACTATTAATGTGAAGTATAAAAAACTATGTACATAGGTATATTTTTGAAAACTGCACAGGTTAAATAATTTTTATCTGTGCATTAACTCAATAGAACAAATAAAAATATCTCGTCTATCTTTATTGTTATATAAACAAAGGTGGACGGGATCAAGATTAAATTCTTTATCCTTCAAATATGCATGCAATATTTTCACTACATTTGTTATTGAATCAAAAATAAAATTTTATAGCTTTCAGACTGCAATTTTAATATAGCATTTATAGCTATAAATAATCGGATGTGCTCATAGACCATACATTAAATTTGGCAGTCCTGTTGTAAAGTGTTTATAATATATATATTTTCTTATACACAGATAAAAAAATTTTTACTATAGATACTTCTCTTAATGCAACAATATTTTCTATAAAAGACTCTGGATATTCTAAATTTTTCCATTTTCTTATAACATAATGTTTTGAATATATTTTACACAGAGAATAGTTAAAACATTATTTTAGTTTTATATCATAATCATTTACCATTATATCTTATATCACATTAATAGATGAGACAAAATTTACCCGTCCACCACTTGATATATTAAGTGTCTGCAGCAATAATGTTAATCAATATATGCAGTTACACTTTAAGTTATGCATGAAGCTAATGTACCATTTGAAAAAGATCATTCATTCTTATATCATTTGTACAATCGTAGAGTGGCACAGTAACTTACATTGAACATATACTTTACAGTTTAGATATCTTATTATATTTAAAATCAATCCTCATAATGTACGTCATGTCTTTTTTAAACGCCCAACAATCCACTCAAGACCTTGATAAAGCCTAAAACATTACAAGTCATTAATAACCTTGTTTCATAAATAGGATTGTAACTCTAATAATGAATCTCTTTTTACCCCTCTCCAGTAAGTGCACAACAGCTTTGTATGTGCCATTGATGTTTTTTAATGGAAGTTAAATCTAGTTGTCTAGAAATTTCAGCAGCTGTCATGCTACCTTTTAAGTCTTGTTTATTAGCATAAACTAAGACATTAGCTTTGCTTAATTCTTCATGATTTAACATTGAGTACAATTCTTCTCTTATTACACCAAGTCTTTCCCTATCTGTACTATCTATAACCATAATAATAAACTCAGTATTAGTATAATATGTGGACCATGCAGCTCTCAGGCTTTGTTGTCCACCCAAATCCCACATTATGAAATGAATATTTTTCCAAACAACTTCTTCAACATTGGATCCAATAGTTGGTGATGTGTGAACAACTTCATTCATTAGGAACTGGTATAATATAGTAGTTTTACCAGCATTATCTAACCCTACCATTACTATTTTATGTTCTGAAAAATAAAAAGATTTTGATTACATTTAAATAAAAATTTGATGAATTATAATTAGAAAATTTAATAGTTTAAATTATAGTTATTTGAATTATGTATTCAAAAGTTTTAAGTATTCATCTTATAATGTGAAAGAAAAATATCTGGAAAACATATGTTAACATATGTTTAAAGTAGGACAATGAAAATTTAAAGCAATTTTAACAAAAATATATTAATTACAAGAGTAATTAGCAAACTCACAAAGAACAGTTTCACTTGTAACTATAATTTATATTCATACTAGCATATGTCAAGGTTTATAATTCATTTATTTCAAACTTTCTATTTTTTATCATTGTATCTATTATTAAATTTTTTGTGATCAGAAAAAGCTATTATATCCATATCCTTTTTAAGCATATAAATATAGAGAATATAGTCATGAAGTTAATATAGGTTTTATATTATCTGAGTAAATTTATTATTGCTAAATTTTATGAATTATTTTTGTATATCATCAAAGTAAAAAAAAGAAGGAACACGACTTTTGCTCATATGATTTTAATAACTGATCATCATTTTTCACTTATTATTAAGCATAAATTTATTGCAATTTTAATTTTATATGATGACACGCATAAAACAATACAATAATTGTGACACAATATTGTTACTACATATGATAAATTTACCTTCATTGCCAAAGAGACTCCACAACTTTGCAAATAATAATCCCATATTGACCAAAACAGTAAACCACTCAGTTAATATTTATTTAATCGTGTTTCTGTAGTGTCTTTTTCTCGATAAAAAAGATGTATTTAGTTGCAGAAGTGGGACATTTCATTGTCAGAGGGTTATGTACACTTTTCTGTCAAGTTCCTTTGCAATATGTTTGTAGTAAATTTGCTTCATTATTGATACATTATGATGTGAAATATATACTTAAGAACTGTTGTAAACTGTTGAAAATACAGTAAGGATAACCCAAAAGTGAAAGAAATATGTATACGAAAACCTTCCCTAATCTAATCAAGCAAATCGCGACATGTTGCTTTCCCAATTAAAACATCCATACGTTCGATGTGTCCAATCATCGTTTAGCAATAACTGAAAGCGATGTCAGTTCTGTATATATGTAAACTGATTGGAGCTAAAGGATACTTAATTAAACGCGCGTAAAACGAAAACACTTAAAACTCTTAGAACGAAATTCTCTTGACTAAGATTACCTAACCGATTTTGCTGAATCACTATCTTCTCCTTTAAAAAAACAAGGGAACTGGTTATAGTGAATGTAACTGAACGAAGTTCACATAATTATAAAAACTTGATATTATCTGATATTATCTTATATTGTATTAAGATAATCTGTAATGTTAAAGATTATAATCAATATAATACAAACATTAATTTATACCTTTTAATAGCAACAATTTTATTATATAGGCTAAAATATAAATTAAACTTTAAATTTTGATGCCTTAGAGCAAAAAAGATTACACATTTTATATGTTGTAAAAAGTTATAAATATTTTATATTTTATAAACATTTATAAATTGTTAAGTACACAATTTTTAACAAATTAATCAAATTTATCTAGTTATTTCTTCTACTCTATAATGTAAAATTTTTTTAAATGTAATAAATATTTGAAAATTCTGTAGAATACTATCTTTATAAAGGCTGTTTTTCAGGAGGTGAAATAATAAAATGAAAAGTTCGAATTTCCCATCGTTTTAATTATCATTTAATATTACATTTATAATATATCTAAATAGTGATAACATTATGAAATGTTTTAATAGTCTCCATAGTGTGTTAACATTACGTTGACCTTGTGTACTGCGATTGGCTTACGAAATGTCGGCTGATGTCGAATCTACTCTAGTATGAACATTCATTCTTAATCTTTGTGGGAAAGCATTCGGCCACTTGTTGCTTTGATATAAAACCAAAGAGAACAAAACACATCTTATTTTGAAAAATAATACTTATTAAAATGAGTAAACCGTGAGTCATCTTTACATTATTTCCGATATATTAAAAATTTTAATTTGTAAAAAGAATTTAGATAATTGTTTTTATGATAATGTAGTTTATATAACCATTTCTATTCGAGTGAATTTTAATAAGTAATTAATTAATTTAAAAAAGTAAAAAGAAGAATAAATATAATCTAAATATTATACTAAATATTATAAATTAATTTAGAAAATCAAATTTTCATTTGTATATATTGTAATATGTAACATATAATGTACGAGATATGTATGATGTAAAAGATATATTTTCAAGTGACTCCTAATTTAATAAAAAACATAATTTACTTTATAGAGTTGCTGATATTGCCCTTATTGGGTTGGCTGTTATGGGTCAGAATTTAATCCTAAACATGAATGATCATGGATTTGTGGTGTGTGCCTACAATCGTACAACAGAGAAAGTCAAATCTTTTTTGGAAAATGAAGCAAAGGGCACAAAAATAATTGGTGCATATTCATTG